TTTAAATCATGTTTATTTCTTACTTCATTGATTCTGCTAACTTGGCTATTATTTTACTTTGTCAACTCTAATACTGTCTTAGCTGCATATTAGATATTGCTGATGGCGTCTCTGTTGGACATGATACTACCATTTGAATCAGCAAGTACTTCTCAAAAATGTTCTTGAAGTACAAATTAGAAAGCAATGGTGAGAGCTTATGCCCTAGTCATAGTTCTTGTCATATGTCATCTGATCTGCAACTGCAGGTCTTTGATGCTAGAATGGTTATCAACTATACAACTATCCCCTAAAATCAAGGCCACTGTTTATCAAATTACTGGACATTGTCAAAAGTCTTCTTGTAGTTAGTAAAGCAAGCATTCATATACAGCTACATAACATGATATCTCACTCTGCAGAATAATGCTTCCCTGGTTCCAAATACTAATTAGACTCCAAAGTGGGTGTCTCCTATCATTCTACACAGTTCTTGTAAACTGTGCCATGCATTTTTTTTAAAGAAATCCCTAAGAAAAATGATTATTCATTCATTCATTCATTCATTCATTCATTCATTCATTCATTCATTCATTCATTCATTCATTCATTCATTCTGTAACTGCAAGTTTTGGCATTTCTTTTTTTTTCTTTTTTGGGTAGCACCACAAAGATCAATCTCAGACCAATTTCAGGAATGATTCCTGTTCTGTAGAGTTGATTCAAAAGATTCAATGCAACATTTAAACTGTCATCTTCTATTAGCTTTAATAGCAATAATTCCATGTCACCAAGTCAGTTGCAACTTATGACAATGTTTACCAGGATTTCCTAGGTATAATGTACTCAGAATTGGTTTACCAGTGTCTTCTTCTGGGAATACCCTGGGAGCATGCAGCATGCCCAAGGCTAAATAGCCTGGCTCTTCTGACGAATTAGCCTCCTGGCCTCTGGCCCTACAAAGCTTTATCCAACCAGCTATCAGCCTTAGTATTTCTGTGAAACCATCAACAAGTCTTGCAGTTTTTTGCTAGCCTTATTGCATTTTGGATTTCACGTCCAGTGTATCACTAAATCCTAATCTTACATTGCAGTTAGGACATGTAATAGTAGATATAAATAAAGTAAAAAGCATCAGATAGATAGAGAATCAATTTTATAGTCTTGGAGCCATCTAATAAAGGCAACCTCTTGTATGTACAATCAAACAGGCCTTTTGGTGGCCACAACTTCTGAGTTACTTGCAAAGTGAGACCCTGTGGCATGAGACCGTTTCTGAATATATACACATATATTTTGCATTATCATATTCGATCTTTTGAGAAGTTGGGGCAAATATGCAATGAATGGTATTCTCTATATTTCATTTCATGTACATGGAAAATCACTGAGCAAAAACATGCATTTCACAGCTATGTTTTAGTAATTTCCAGAAGCAAGGGCCTGATAGTTCCTTTGCAGAAGAGTGTTTTTTTTCCATGTGTAGATTAGTGTTTAACATCCAGTAATTAATTAAGTTTTAATTTCATTTTATTTTAAAGGGGATAAATATTTCAATTCGTAATACATCTTTTTGTCCTGACATGGCATAAAAATGTACTGGCGTCTATCTTAAAGGCTCTGAGCTACACAGAGCAAATATCAAAACTAAATATGCTATGAAATGTTATTATGCAGTACCTTGTTAAATTTATTGAATACTGGGAATAATAGATGGAACCTGTTTTAAGTGGTGGTGGTTATTTTCTTTTTTCCACTAATGAACATAGGGCTGATGTTAGGCAGGGAGAAAACTAATTGCTCAAATGGGAATATGCATTGAGCAACTGTTAGGTTTCCTAATTAGCCTTTATAGGATTTCATTAATCTCTTCAGTCGACTAAAAGAGTTATGGTCTCTGAAGCACATTTATCCTGAAATGGGGGGGGGTTGGGTAGGTAAGGTGGAGGATTTAACAGTAACCACAAGATAAGAGCTACCTAGAAGCACTTTCCCAGTATGTTTAGTTTAGCCAGTTCTGAGGAGCTCTTCAGAGTGTATGAACAAAGATCAAATGCCTTCAAAGAACAGGATAGAATTTTCAGACAATGACTATGTCTTGGAATGCGGAACTCTCAAGTTCTACTTACACATGACTGTTTTTCTACAATAGAGTGGAAAATAGATATTTGCAATAGATATTTGCAAGATCTATAAAATAACTGTGTAGAAGAGTCCCAAAATGAGCAGTTGCATAAATTACTTTATGGGGCAGCTCGCTGAATAAGAAAAGGGCAAAATGGATGTGGGTCTGCAATAATTTTTGTCTCAGGTGTTTTCAGCTCACGTGGTAGAATTCAGAACCTTCAGTCATAGTATTGGGAAGCTCAGCCTGAAGATTATATGACTGAATTACGCATATCTGTGCTGAGATACATTCTTGAGAAACAGACTGGTTTCCAAAGAAAAAAAGATCACAAGTACCACATACTCTAGCTTGTATAATACTATATCCCTGACTCTACTGGGGCATAGTTTTAATAAGGAGGAGTGTGAAGTGGGGGTCATCTTATTGTGATGCTAAGTAGTGTTCTGTGCCAGCATCAATCTTCCCACTGTTAAAAAGTTTAACCAGACAAGGATGGGGAACTTGATGGGAACAGAATTACTAGCAGAAAGGTTTTTGTGCTGTGTGTTAAGAAATGAAGAGGAAAGTGAAGAAGAGAGAGATGAAGAGGAGAAAGACCAAAATGGGAGTGAGGAAAGGGAAGAGCTGAATTTGGAAAGACAAGATAAATCAGGCCAAGATGGGAATGAAAAAGATGGAGAAGAAACACTGAATTTAGAAAGAAGGACATCACTGACTGAACATATTTCAGACCAAGAAGATGCATCTTCCTAGTGGTGTGACTTGTTATATTATATTGGAACTGTTGTCTGTCCTCTGCCTTTGTTCATCTGAAGTACTAATGCACCATAATATGGGAGATACTTTGGAGTATGACCATGAATGTATCAGTAGTAAAAGTAGGCATCAGATTGGATCCAGACAGGAGCAGACCTCTTGAAAACAATGATCATTAATACAGTAGTGACAAACATAATTCCTGTTCATTTCTTTAGGTCTGTTCTGGGTCATGACAAAGGCTAGATCCAACCACTTGGGCTTTGCAGCACTGAGTTACCCCTTCCTTTTATTTTCATACTTTGGGTTTAGCTAGGGGCTTTTCATGGTACTTATTGCATGTATGACATCAATATGTATCTAAAAAAAGACATGTAGAACAAAAGAAAAAGCATCCTGAAACCTGTCATCTGTGATGCTAATCTGTGTTGTTTATCTCTGTTGCAAAATATGTTGTAGAACTATTTTTTTAAAAAAAAGATGGTACTATTTTGTAAGAAGGCAAAAAAAGAGTATATTGAGAGGTGCAGGTTGGTGTTTCTGATTGTAGGCAAAAAAAGGATTCTATCGCTGAATAGCTCAGTGGTTTAGGTGTCTTCAGATGTTGGGAGCTCAATTCTCCACTGTGCAATTCTCCTTAAAAGGGGCTAGACTCGATAATCTACAGGGTGCCTTCCAGTTCTGCAGTTCTATTATTATTATTAAGATTAATACAGTTCTTGGGCAGAAATGTTATCTTTCCTTCCCTGTCTCAAACATTTGCTCAATGCAAGTGGTGTGGAAAGTGATCTATTTACTAGGATGTTAAGTACAGTGGTGCCTCGCTTAACGAGCGCACCGTATAACGATGAAATCGCATAGCGATCCGTTTTTTTGGATCGCTAATGCGATCGCTCAATGAGCTTCAGATAGGGAGAATTTCGCTTTGCGAAGATCGGTAAGCGTTTCGCTTACCGACCTTCGCAAAATGAAGCTCCGACGATCAGCTGTTTGGCGGACAAAATGGCCGCCGGAAGCCTCAAAATGGCCGCGCGCAGCATTTTCGCGCCCTCCCCTCGCTTAACGAGGGCGCGAAAATGGCTGCCGGCCATAGGAAACCTCGCTGAACGGGGAGGAGAGGAGCCTTTTGGAATGCATTAAACGATGTTTAATGCGTTCCAATGGCTTTCCCTGCCCCGTTCAGCGATGTTTCGCTATAGCGAAGGTTAATCCGGAACGGATTAACCTCGCTATGCGAGGCACCACTGTAGTATCGTAAAAGAGATTATCAACATCTCTTTATCAATGAAATTTAGCAAATTAAGTTTGCAGATGTGTTTTTCCATACTATTATGACATTATAATTAATGCATACTAGACGGACACCTACTGAAAAGTGGAATGTCAGCAATTCCGCAGATCTTAGTAGAATAAGTGCTGCTGGAATCTCTAGAGGAAAATAAGGAAATAGCAGGTTGTTACAAATTCCTCGATACCACAACTGAAGTTGAAGAATTTTCAGTTTACATTCAGAAGGTTGTAGCTATGTAGGTCAGGCTACAACCTACTAAACTGTAGAATTCATAGCATTATGCAGACTTATCATAAATGTATATCTTCCATAGTAAAAAAAAATCACATTAAATTTTGACTCAGCTACAAAGTTACTGGGGGATGTGGTGGCGCTGTGGGCTAATCTGCAGAAGCCTGTGCTGCAGGGTCAGAAGACCAGCAGTCGTAAGATCAAATCCACGCGACGGAGTGAGCGCCCGTCGCTTGTCCCAGCTCCCGCCAACCTAGCGGTTCGAAAGCATACAAATGCAGGTAGATAAATAGGGACCACTTCGGTGGGAAGGTAACAGCGTTCCGTGTCTAAGTCGCACTGGCCATGTGACCACGGAAGATTGTCTTCAGACAAACGCTGGTTCTATGGCTTGGAAATGGGGATGAGCATCGCCCCCTAGAGTCGAACACGACTGGACAAAAATTGTCAAGGGGAACCTTTACCTTTACCTTTACCTTTAACAAAGTTACAGAATACCATTTCCAGACCCTGGCTTTTAGCAAAGTGCTACACAGAAATGTTTTACAAATCTTAGATGAGTAGGCTTCATTACTGGAAAATGTGAATTATAGAGCTTTTTTTTTCATTTTGCAGATGACATGGAAGCCATTCCTGTCAAACAGTTTGTTAAGCATATCAGTGAACTATATGCCAACAACCAGCATGGATTCTCAGAAGACTTTGAGGTATGTGTTAGAATTTTTTGATTTTCAGGTATGTATGTATGTATGTATGTATGTATGTATGTATGTATGTATGTATGTATGTATGTCTGTATGCATGCATGCATGCATGTTTTATCCTGCCTTTCTCCTTAAGAGGATTCAAGGTGGCTTACATCATTAAAAGACAATATGAAAGCTAACATCAGTGAGTATACAAATACTAAAACAGATAAAACAAATACCATACAAAAACCAAATACATGAAAGCAAAAAAACATTCAAAGCAGTAAGGTACAACAATCAATTAAAAAACCCCACTCAAGCAGCCATTCACTGAGGGAAACATTTCCTGAAGAGAAAGGTCTTTGCTTGTGTACGGACAGCAAAGATGGGGCCAGTCTGGCCCCCAGTGGGAGGGAGCCTGAGAGCAGCAACAGAGAAGGCCCTTTCCTGAGTTCCCACCAAATGGACCTGTGAAGGTGGTAGGACCGAGAGAAAGGCCTCTCCTGATGATCCTAATGCTCAAGCACGCTCATAAAGGGCGATGTGTTCCTTGAGATAGCTTGGGTCCAAGCTAAGGTATATCATCTCAGAAACTTTTAGGACAGTGCATGTGTTCTGCACAACAATTTGTAAAAAAAATGTAAAAAATGGTAGGGAATTAACAGAAGCAGAAGAGGTGGCAAGAATACACAGAGGAATTATACCAGAAAGATCTGGATGTCCCGGACAACCCAGATAGTGTGGCTGCTGACCCTAAGCCAGGCTGAGCCAGACATCCTGGAGAGTGAAGTCCAGCGAGCGTTAGAAAGCATGGTTAACAACAAGGCCAGTGGAGGGGATTGCATTCCCGTTGAACTATCTAAAATCTTAAAAGATGACACTGTTAAGGTGCTACATTCAATATGCCAGCAAGTTTGGAAAACTCAACAGTGGCCAGAGGACTGGAAAAAAATCAGTCTACATCCTAATACCAAAGAAGGACAGTGCCAAAGAATGCTCCAACTACCGTACAATTGCACTCATTTCACATGCTAGCAAGGTTATGCTCAAAATCCTCCAAGGTAGGCTTCAGCAGTATGTGGATCGAGAACTCCCAGAAGCACAAGCTGGATTTCGAAAGGGCAGAGGAACTAGAGACCAAATTGCTAACATGTGCTGGATTATGGAGAAAGCCAGAGAGTTCCAGAAAAACATCTACTTCTGCTTCATTGACTATGCAAAAGCCTCTGACTGTGTGGACCACAGCAAATTATGGCATGTTCTTAAAGAAATTGGAATGCCTGACCACCTTATCCATCTCCTGAGAAACCTATATGTGGGACAGGAAGCAACAGTTAGAACTGGATATGAAAGGTTGGACTGGAGGAATCCCAAGCCGGAATTAAGATTGCCGCAAGAAATATCAGCAACCTCCGATATGCAGATGATACCACTCTGATGGCAGAAAGTGAGGAGAAATTAAAGAACCTCTTAATGAGGGTGAAAGAGGAGAGCGCAAAAACTGGTCTGAAGCTCAACATCAAAAAAACTAAGATCATGGCCACTGGTCCCATCACCTCCTGGGAAATAGAAGGGGAAGATATGGAGGCAGTGACAGATTTTACTTTCTGGGGCTGCAGGAAGTAACTAGAGTCCCATGCTACTTACAGCAGTACAGAATTGCTTCCACCAATGAAACACAAGTCACTTCACTTAGGGCCTCAGTACTCCAGTTCTTACAGGAGATGGCAGCTCCTCACCACAGTTCCTATGGTTCTTAGAATGTTGCTTGCTGAGTACAGCAGCATTGATTTTGGCGTTGCAAGCAACAGGAGACAAGAGTCCCGTGCTGCTCAAAGTGGCATGGGGCCCTTGTTTTAGCATTTAAAATAAAACACACACTCCTGTGTCCTCTAACTATAAGTAATAGTTGTTTCTTCTTACAACAAGAGAGTAAGTAACTTTGGCAGATCAATTACTGTACTCCCATGTTACTCAAGAAAATGATACACTGGGGGAAATTCTATTGTGTCAATTTATGCCAGCAGAAGTTGAGGATGTAATCAGCTAGCACTAGTAAAATTTAATTTAAATTATGTGAAAGATTTCTATCTCTCCATTTTAGGTTCCGGGGCTCCTTAGGGCTTCCTTTTGCCCTGAAAAATTGTTTGGCAGCCTTGGGAATGGGGTCACCCCCCAGTGGGAAAGGGACATCCAGCACTAATCTGTTGGTGATTGGAGGCTCCCCCCCCCAAAAAAAGGGAGTCTTAGGGAGCCTTGAATCCTAAAATGGAATGGGTGGGGTGGAAAGGATAGGAAGCTTTCAATTAATTTAAATTAAATTTTTCTGCTGGCAGCTGATGACATCAGCAGCTTCCACCGGTGTAAATTTACACCAGCAAGATTTGGGCCATTGTGTGTAATGACCTTCCCTACAAAGCTCTGAATAGAAGCATGAAGATCAGCTTCTTCTCCAGCCTGCTCTTGTCTATTCAAGAAGGACTATTTGAGAAGACTGAAAAACATATCTGAGACTTATGTTAACATTTTACTTGTTTGTCTTATTTTTAAGCTGCCTCTCCCCCTATAAGGGGATTCAAAGTGTAAATATTTTCTGTCTTGGATGTTAGATATAAGCACAAAACAATTAAGCAACATAGTCAGACGCCTCCAGTGTAATGCTAGCTCTCGAAATAGGAGGCCAAAAGATACACCAGAAAAGCTAAACACATTTACAACTTAAGCACCGAAGTTCATACTGCTCTACAACTCTGCAGCTGACTCATCTACGTTGTGAATGTACAGCCTCCCATGGTCTTATATAATCACTGGTTCAGGCATGATGATGGTGGTAGACTCGGACTCTAATCAGCACTGCTGAAAACAAAAACCAACAGTGATTTCCAAGCCAGTATCGAATGATGCTGCTCCCTTGTGTTCTTCTCGATCTGCTCACAACTGGGCTTTGAAATTGCTGTCAGGAAGGCAGGGTCTTCAAGGCCTCTTAGCCAAAAATAGCATGCAGCTGTTGTGCCATCTCCACCAGAGCATGAGAGGAGAGGAGATAGAGATATATATATATATATAGAGAGAGAGAGAGAGAGAGATGGTTTTTAGGGTCCAACGTTGTTTAATAATCAAGTATTACAAGTGCTATGACTGAGTCATAAAAGGCAGCTGTGTTCACAAATAAAACACTGGCAGAAAAATTGCTGGTTGAATACGGAACATCCCTCTTCCCTGCTGTAATAAATATACGGCTGCCACCATGGTTCTTAACGTGGCCCTTTCACACCCAACTTTGATGCCTTTGGGTTATAGCCATTTTATGGCTGGTCGCACTATGTGATAATTCAAAAAAAGGGGGGTGGAAGGTGGAGAAAACAACCAAAACAAAACAAGAAGAAAACCTATTGTGCCAGTCATGAGCATTTCGTATTCATGAGGACGGCGGCCGTGCAAGGTGTTAAAAGTGATTTAGTTACATTGACTATTGGCTGGATGACTGAACAGAGATATTGAGGCATTTAACAATGTTGATGGTATTCAGGACAAACATTTATCCTCGGGAGAGTCACATTTGATAGGAATGATCAGATGCAGTGCAGTCTCCTCAATTATTTATGAATTGAGGCCCCAGCCCTATTCATCACAGCTGGGTTTGACACCATTTAATTATTCAAAATAATCAGCAACACATCTGTAAACTTGCGCTGACTTAAAGTGGGCTTTGCTTCATCTGTCTCGGAAATGACTGCCATTAACAAAAAGGCAGGCAGCTTCTGTAGGCGTTGTGCAGCCGTGTAGCCGAAATGGCTCTTCAGAACGCCCATCTCCCAGGCCGCCTGTTAGTTATTCAGTAAATACGGCTTTGCCTATTAGTTTCGATTTCTGAAGCTAGATATTGCCACCAAAGGGGGAAATAATAATTTTCCTACTGTAATTTTAAAGCCACCATCTCTTTTTCCCCCCCTCTGGGATGAACGTGAAATAAGGCTACAGGGAATGTACAAAGATCTCGTAATATAATGAACTACTTCTAGTTTATGTAGAATTGTCACATTCCCAGTTGCTGTTCATATATGTAATTGCTTTTGGAAGAGTTGCTTCTTGAAAATTAGCTGTGACCTTGTATTTGTTTAATGTTCAAGAGGTACACATACAGTACAGATTATTGGTTATGTTTTGTATCCCACCTGTCATTCAGTGGACTCGAGACACTGAATGTGACTCGGCTGCTCCCCACTTTGTCTGCCTCACAACAGTGATGTAAGGTAGATCAGGACAAAGGAATCATCCAGTAGATGTCATGACTCAGTCAGGACTTGAAACTTGATCTCCGAAATCTCAGGCCAATTCTCTAACTCCTACACAACATTGCCCTTATTATGGCTATCCCGATTTTGGCCATCTCTCTTTGATGTCAGTGAACTGAGGTTCAGAATATATTCAGGAAAGGAAAGAAGTTGTTCAAAAAAAGTCACTGCTGGTGGTCTAGAATGGGCTAAGCCTCCACTAAGGAGATGCATAGCTGGTACTGCTGCCCTTCTGTTTCCATGCCCATCTTCAGTGCCATTCATCTGGAACATGTAAGGAATCTCTCTGGCTTTTCCCTCACGAGAAGAGCTTAGGTACCCTGTTTCCCTGAAAATAAGACCTAACCTGAAAATAAGACCTAGTGTAGTTTTTCAGGATTCCTGTAATATAAGCCCTACCCCAAAAATAACCCCCAGTTAAGTGAAACCCCGCCGTCCACTGTTGTGCAGCAACCAGAAGAAGATGACATGCCTGTATTTGCATAAATGTAGATTGTTTTAGGTGGTGCACAAGCCTCCCTAAGGAGCACTTAGCACTCGGTCAGAGAGTCCGACAGGCCACTTACGTACCACCTTTGCGCTGAGGCAAGTCCCAAGACTTCAGCAGTGCGTAGCGTAAGCCCCTTGAACAAGTCTGAACTTAAAAGAACACTTTACTTTTACCCAGTACTTTGCAAGTGCTGACACATGGGCTTTGTGATTCCTTAGAATTCACAACAGCTC